AAAAAAAAGCATCTTGATTTACTCTTGCCTTTAATTCACTAACATAGCGCAAGTCTTACTGTTTAATTATTTCCACAATGGGCAACTGTATAGCCAGTTAGAAATATAAATCAGGTCGAGTGGTGCGATATTTTATTTAAAAACTCTCGCGTCACTGCATGCCTCTCGGTGCTGGCAAACACAAATTTTCTGAAATCAGTTTCTTTCTAAACAAGAGATCCCAAATGTACATGAAATCAGGGTAGCCTACAGAAGATATGGCTCTAAGGTCGTTTGGGTAGAGAACGCAACACTTTTATCTTCTGACTTTTGAACTGAATAACTAATTTAAGCCAGTTTCTCTTTATTATTAGGACAACTGTAAAAGCTTGCATTGTGTTATTTCCTCTTTTGGGAGTCACATGGTTGTTTGGTTTGCTGAGTCTCTCTAACGCTGGACTTGTTTCACAATATGTTTTTACGGTGCTGAACACACTACAGGTAAGTGAAGAGATACACTAAGAACAATAAACGGTCTGTATAACTCACGTTGACTTATGGCTTCATGGTATACTTCAACATTCACCCCTGAGTTGAATGTACCAAGAAAATCAAGGGAAAATTTTTAAAACACACTCTAACATGTTCACCACTCTAAAAACTACAGGAGGAAAGGGTTCAAGCTAACCGAGCTAACCACGCAAAGAATGGGATCTGGGATCATTTTGGTAAGCAGCATAACCAGATATTGCTTACTGGTTTTCTTTGGATACCATCCACCAATCAATCTCACGCTTAGCTTGTACACCTAAGTGATTCCACAAATCACTGCCCCGACTGCTTGTAACCATTTCCCTGCCCTCATGGAATGGTGACAGTCAAGTATCCTTTGTCGAATTAACGCTTGCCCTGAAACGACCTCTTTTTCTGTGATTCATGGATCTTACTTCAGTTAAAATTCTTACAAATGGAGAGATTTTTCACGAAAGGCTTCTTAATCTAACAACTGCTGCACTACTGCTTGGCATAAAGATGTGTTGAGAATGCAAATTGTTGAAAGGTTGTTACTGACTTTTCATTGAGTGTATTCTTGGATGGAGTCGCCGACCAAAGTTTTTGTCTCTAAGAAATATATAGCGAATGATAGTAATTTTATTATCTCCTTATCTCCTTTTGTCTTTTGGTTACTTCAGGGATTGCTGATCTTTCTCTTACACTGTATAAGAAACTCTGAGGTAAGTTTCTCCAATAAGCTATTTCTTGAGGTAACTCGGAAATTGCCTATTAACCCATTCGAGCCTTGTTTTTCAGAGTTAATTTTTCTTTTTTTTGCTCAATTTGATGAGTAGTTTCTGTTCCTGACTTTGACCAAATCTTCGTTACACCCCCCCCTCCCCCTCCCCAGCACTTTCTAGTTTCTAACCATAGTCTCCATCCTTGTTTCAGATAAGAGCAGCATGGAATAAAAAGCTACAAAACGTTACAAGGCAAGCCTGGCATTTGTTTAAGATCGGGAGACCGCCAGCGACCTCTAGTTCAACTCCAGAGGCCCAGTCCTGCAGAGCAGAACAACCGCAGATAGAAATGAAC